ACGGGTTTTTTACCTTAGAGAGGTGACTTGTATACTTTTGAGTTTTTAAATGATTTTTTAAAAGATAAATATAAGCTAAGTAACAAGAGGATACAGAGCAAACCTCCGCCCCAACCCGGGGATACCTCACCCAAAAATTTTGTTCCTTTACGAAAACCCAGAAAACACCAATTGACCAATTGCAATTGCCTTTTGGGGCCCCGGCGGCCCGTCCCTGCGCATTTGCTCCTGATTGAGTTTGGAAAATTTGCGCAGTGTTGACGTGTATTTGGCCCCTGTAAAGACCTGTTTTGCGCGCTCTTAAAATTGGGAAGATCCCCTCCATCGAGAAACTTTCCCAACAGTTTTAAGGAAGAATTGGGGTTTGGCAAATTTTGGGAAATTTTAGGGGGTTTTGCCCAAAGGAAAAAAAGAAAAATTCGTGGGTCCCCCTTTTTTTGAGTCCTCAGGTCAAAAAGGGAAAATTTTGGCCCAGTGGTTTGGAAACACAGGGAAAGAATTGACGTTAAAAAGACGAAGGGAAAAGGTTTAAAAAAGAAAAAGAAGAAAAAGCTGCCGGGGAAAACTGTTGTGGGAAAATCCAATACATTCCAGTGCAAACCCAAAAAATTTGAGTTGTACCCTGGGAACACAGGGAACGAAAGACTTTAAAAGGAAGGTAAAAAATTATTGTTTTTTTTTGGGGATACCCAAATTTAGGTATTTGGTTTGGGGCCCGTTCGGGCGAAGGCCGGGAAATTTGGAGACAGGGTTTTTGCCCCGGGGTGGGAAAGGGGGAAAAAGTTAGCCTCTGGATGACATTGAGAGGTAAGGGAGAAAACCCCAAATTTCTGCCCCCGTGCTGGGGGGAAAACGATTTGGCAGCCTGGGAAAGTGGGGGCCCTTTTTTTAAGAAGGTATAGGTCGGAAACAAAAATTAATTAGAAGAAGGGGGGGAAAACCCCCATATGGGTATTTTCCCAAGGGAAAGGGGAGTTGGAAGTGAAATGGTTGTCCGGGGCAATTTTGCCCAATTTGTTTCCCTGGAAAAATTTATTTGAAAGGGAAAAATGCGGAAAACCATTCTTTGACAACTGGGACCTCTCTATGGCAGAAAACTGTTTTGCTGGGGAGGGGTTTTTTCCTTATCTAGGTGTGGGGTGGAAGCCCCGGGAAAAACAGAAAGTGGAGGGGGGGCCAGTTAGGACTTTAAATAGGAATGTTAGTGGTTTTGGGTTTTGGCAGGAAAAAAAGTGAAAATCCCGGGGTAGTAAAAAAATTTCGAGTTCTAGGGAAACTAGGAAAATAAGAACGAGATAGATTTTTGAAAAAACCAGGGACCTTGGGGGAAAAAGGACAGTAATAAGGGTTTTTAGGAAAATAGAAATGAGCAGGAAGGGTAAAGAGAAAGGAGAGTCTTTCCCAAAGTTTATTATGTAATTGCCGTAGTGCTAAAGGGAATAAGTTGGGCAGTTGGATTAGTTGCTAGGTAGGTAACATTGATGTATTTGCCTTAACGAGATGGTTTAATTCAAAAAAAATCGGGGCATGCCGCGGAATGTCATATTAGGGTTTTTTAAATTTTTTCCAAGAAGATAGAAGTTTTTGGGAAGGGGGGGGTGGGGTGGCATTTTATGTTTCCCAGATCGCTTTAAAATGTTTTCTTTAAAAAAGGGTTTTTAAGTTTTGAAGTAAAAAACATACAGAGTTTTTTGGAAAAGAATTTTCAGAGGGGGATGGGAAAAACCCGATTTTAGGAGTGTTTTACCGTCCCCCCAAAATTGATAGGGGGCCAAAAGGGGAAAATACTTTGGGAGGAAATTGTTAAAAAGGGCCCCAAAAGGGACGATTTAAAGGGAGTAATTCTAGGCGCTTTAACTTTTTGTCAGTTGATTTTGGGAATTTTTTTGACTGGGAATTTAGGAAACGTACGACTTTTTTAGAAGTATTTTTAGGAATTTTTTTTTTGAAGCAGTTTGTGACAGAACCACAAAGGGGGAAAAAAACCTGCTTGACTTAGTTATGGCAAACAAAAATCCCTTTTTTAATTTAAATTTGAAATTTCAGAGGGGGCTGGGGGGCTTAAACGACCACAAATTTAATTTTCATTTAGCAAATTTAAAGGGGAAATACGAAGTAGCGATAACTTTAGTAACAGCCCCGATTTTTTGCTTAAAGATTACGAGGGCCCTTTGAGAACACTTATCATTGTTGCTGGGGGAACGAAAAAGACTATCAATATTCCAAATTTTCCTGAAAAACATAATGCTGCTCAAAGGCGTTTTATCCCAATAAAAGGAAAATTTTTTCAAATAGAAATGGGCCCCAAAAAGGATGAATAAAAAGGCTCAAAAAATCTCTAGGGCATAAGAAAGGAAAATTTTAGGCGTATCAAAAGAGGGGGGAGGGTCATCTTATGAAAACGTATATTTAATTAAGAGGGGGCATTAAAAAGGGGTTTAAAAAAAGGGTAAAAGGGACTTGAAAAAAAAAGTTGTAGGGGTTTTAAAACAACCCCAAAAAATTTTTTCCGGGGCTAAGAACAAAAGTTAGAGAAAAAGGGCCCCTTAAAAAAAAACTATGGGCACCTTACTGACCAAAGGAATGAAATGGGCTTGATTTTAAAAAATTATTTTTTCTCAGTTTTTTCACCCGGGGAAAACATAACATTTTTCCCGTAATTAATTTTTACAGTGGGCTAGAAGAAGATAAATTATGTAACATCACAGTCACTAGTGAGAGGGTTGGAGGCAGATAGACAGACTGAAGCAAAATAAGTCGCCGGGTCCTGATGAGGTTTTTTCAAGGGTTCTTAAGGAATGAAAAATGGAACTCTGTGAACCTTTAACTAATATTTTTAAATTTATCTCTTCAAACAGGTGTAGTGCTGAAAATTGGAAGATGGCTAATGTAACTCCTATTTTTAAAACGGGGACAAGTCGTTACCGTCAAATTACCGCCCAATAAGCCTGACCTCAATTGTAGGCAAATTACTAGGTCAATTATAGCTGAGGGTTATAAGAAGCCATCTCGATAACATAGCTTGATTAATGATTACTCAGCATGGATTCACAAGAGGCCCGGGCTTGTCTAACTAATTTATTAACTTTTTCAGTAAAGCTTTTGAGGCTGTTGACCACAATAAAGAATTTGATATTTTTTACTTAGATTTTAGTAAGGCTTTTGATAGAGTTCCGCACCATAGACTGTTAAAGAAAGTGGCAGCTCATGGCATTGGGGGAAAAGTGCTCTCGTGGATCGAGTCATGGCTCACTGACAGGAAGCAGAGAGTGTCCATAAATGGGGTTAAATCCGAGTGGGGATCTGTAACAAGTGGCGTTCCACAGGGATCAGTCTTGGGCCCGTTGTTATTTATAATATATATCAATGATCTTGATGAGGGGAATTACTAGTGATATGAGCAAATTCGCCGATGACACAAAGATAGGTAGGATAATTGATTCAAACGTAGATGTTAGGGAACTTCAGGAGGATTTAAACAAACTCTATTCTTGGTCAGAAAAGTGGCAGATGCAGTTCAATGTAGATAAATGCAAGGTTCTGAAGCTTGGGAGTGCCCATAACCCTAGTACTTATAAATTAAATGATGTAGAACTTAGCCATACAGATTACGAAAAGGACTTGGGGGTTATGGTGAGCAGCAACCTTAAACCAAGACAGCAGTGCCTAAGCGTACGTAATAAGGCAAATAGATTACTGGGATTTATATCAAGAAGTGTAAACAACAGAAGTCCAGAGGTCATACTGCAGCTTTATACATCATTAGTAAGGCCTCACCTTGATTATGCAGCTCAGTTCTGGTCTCCGTATTACAAAATGGACATAAATTCGTTAGAAAACATTCAGCGTAGGATGACTAAATTAATACATAGCATCAGAAATCTTCCTTATGAAGAAAGATTGAAGACTCTTAAGTTACATTCACTTGTTAGACGAGAATGAGAGGAGACCTGATCGAAGTGTATAAGTGGAAGATAGGTATTAATAAAGGGGATATTAATAAGGTCTTGAGGATGTCTCTCCAAGAGAGAACGCGCAGTAATGGATTTAAATTAGATAAGTTTAGATTTAGAAAGGACATCGGAAAGTATTGGTTTGGAAATAGGGTAGTCGATGAGTGGAACAGTCTACCTAGTTGGGTTATTGAGGCTAGGACTTTGGGTAGTTTCAAATCTAGGTTGGATAAGTACATGAGTGGGAGGGGTTGGATTTGAGTGGGACTTTCACATCAGAGCTTATTTCTTGGGTGGCATTGAAAATTGGGTAGGGCAAATGTTTTGTTAGTGGGATGAATTGTAAAGGACCTGCCTAGTATGGGCCAGCAGGCCTCCTGCAGTGTTCCTCCTTTCTTATGTTCTTATGTTCTTATGTCTGTCTGACTTGTGTTGACTCAAGTGTCCAGCAAGAAGATTTTATCTAACTTGTCTAGAAACATGGTGCAATAATTTCGGGGTGAACCATATAAGGTCAAGGTGTGTGACAGAGCGAGGACTATGTTTCCATTCGTCAAGCGTGGCAGACCTCTTCTTAATTCGGCAAACCCACCTACTTCTACTTAGAAATCTTAATTCGTGATATGTAAAATTGTGGTTAAACAAAAATTGTACCTTTAAAGGTGTTGAATGTTCTTAATCGCTTGAAAAAAATTTACCCAAATCTTAATTCGTGATATATAAAATTGTACCTTAACACATTAATTTACCTCATTTAAACTTAACAAGTGGAAATAATGAAGAGGTTGGAGTATACGAGTGAAATTCTTACCAGACAATGAGTGAAATTTTTACCGGATAAATGTGTTAATGAGTGAAATTCTTAACAGAGGATAAGAAAAGAATACACGCGAATTAATGAAGAGGAGAATGTCGATAATACGAAAATCATCGCAAATCAAGCGAGGAGATGCACATCACGGTGAAAGATTGACAGAATTACAAAAAGAGTGGGATCACATAGATGTATTATGGTAGAGGCTGTAAAAACAGGTATGTATCCAAATTGTGACCAGTACCTTATATTTTTGTCGTATTATGTAAAAAATTGTTGGGGGTGAAAGATTTTGTTCTATTAATCGTTGTATTGCTGAATACCGAAGCGAGGAAATCTTAATATGTAAAATTGAGATCAGTGCCTTATATTTTTTGTTGTATTAACGAAATCTTGTTATGCAAAATCTTGTTATATAAAATTGTTGGTGGTTCTTACCAGACATTAATTAATGTTATGTAGTGAAAGATTTTGCTCTATTAATATTAATTCGTAGTATGTAAAAATGTGACTAGAGCCTTATAGGTGTTGTTGTTGAGGAAAAATGTTTATTAATCGATCAGTATGTGAATACCGAGACGAGAAAATATGTAAAAATATGGAATATGAATTGGAGATACTTTTCCTCGTACGAAATACACCTGGTACTTCTGCAGCTGTGAATGACTCTGAGAGAGCAGGTACTTCACATAATCCAGGGAGTAATGACGCACATCCTGTAGGTGCGATCGAGAATGAACCTGAGAGTGCAGGTTGTTCTGCTAGTGTTGGTACCTCACAACACGGAGGTGCAGCCTGGAATGTGGATACATCTGTCACCGTTAATGAAGATGAGAGAGCAAGTATCTCACATAGTCTGGGGAGTAATGTCGCACACAACAGTGTAGGTGCGACCGTGAATGAAGATGAGAGGGAAGGTACTTCACATGATGCGCCTGTGAATATGAACGATGAACATCCAGAAATTATCACATACGTCCAGAATTTTAGAGGTAGGCACAAAGTGAGGAAATATAGTGTCCCTTCAACTTATGAGAGAGATTTAAGAATGTATTTGCATGCTTATAGGGATTATTTTATAGGTCAGATGCGAGATATGTATGATAGATCACCTCTGGCAATGTCACTCAGAATCCATCCGATTATAGTTATTAGGACATTACGCCAGAACATATTAGGTGATGATCAAAATGGACAATTTGTGATAAATTTAGTGTTTTAGTTAGTAAGTGAAGAGGAAATCTCTGAAGTATTTGATCGATGGGTGGGAACGATATTAGAAAGGTATGAGACAGAGTTGCAAAATCAGGAAGGGATCATAGATCTATTGGAATCTTTGAGCATAGAATATGTCAAGGTAGAATTCAAAGTGCAAATGAGATCATATGTGGAATATCCCAAGAAACTACGAGGGAGCCAATATATCTTTAATCCAGATATTAATTATGGATTGTGTGTACTGCGTATTTTTGCTGCCTATCATTGTCACAAAAAGGGTATGAGATAGGAAAATATTTCCTAAGTTGTAAATCCTAAGAGAGAGTGTCTTAGTCATGCAAAATATTTTACAGATGATTTTCCCATTACACGTGATAAATTAGGTCTATTAGAAAAGGAAAATAAGGTGTCATTATTCGTCTATCAATTAAGAGAGGATAAAGATGGGTCATTTGTGGCTATGTGCCGTAAGGGGAATAAGAAATATAAGGACATTATGTGTGTCTTATTGATGAATGAAAGTCATTTGGTTTCAGTCAAAGATTTTCACGGCTATATTAGAATGATAATGACAAAAAAAAAAAGGTGATGATAAGAAGCACTGCCATAATTATTTGATGAAGTTAAATATCCAGGAAGAGTTAGATATCCACGAAGATGGATGTAAAATCGGACTCTCGTATTCCCCCCGGAAGGAACAACTGTACACTTTAGAAATTTTAGTGATACACATTCCAGCGAATACATCGGTGTATTCGATTTCGAATGTGCATTAAATACCACTCTCCCGGCAGGTAAAACTGAGTCACGCCATAAAGCCATTGCCTATTGTTATATTATATTTGATCACACAGGTGAAATAGTGTGCATGAAGAGTTATAAGGGGAAGGATGCAGCTAATCATTTCATTTTAAATGTCAATGGTGAATGGAGTAAGATAAAGTTTAGAAGAGAGTATCATGTAATCCATATGACAGAGGAGGATAAGACCAGACATGATTCTCAGATCACTTGTGAATTATGTAGTAACACCTTCAAAAATGCCTAAGACAAACATAAACATCATGACCACACTTTAAATTTCAATAATTATATTGGTGCATATTGTGCTCGTTGTAATTTGCAGTGTAAAGATAAGAGTGAGAAATTATTACTTTTTTGTCATAACATGTCGTATGATTTAGGAATAATTTTAAAGGAATTGCAGGTTGATAAATATGAAATTAAACTTCATTCAAAACAAGGGTTCAAATTCTTGAAAGTAGACATAGGATCTCTTACCATGTTAGCAGATCAACATATCAAGGCAGGTAAATCATTGAAATAAACAAAGACTATTCTGAAAGATGTGCCTCAGGATGTGTTGCCTTTATTATGTAAAGGAAAGCAAGTCCTGCGCTACGATTATATTGATAGTTTAAAGAAACTCGATGAAACAAAATTACCGAGTACAGAACATTTTTGTAATTCTTTGAGAAATAGTGCAATTAGCCAGGAGGATTATGACCATGATGCTATGAAAGTATTTGACTTGGGAAATTGTAAGAGTTTAGGAGATTACTTGATGTTGTATCTCAGACAGATGTTGGATTGTTAGCCGATGTCTTCATTGAGTGGCGTAAAACACTCAAAGATATTTATAAACTCGATGTTAGTAATTACATAAGTTTGCCTTCTTTCAGTTGGGACGCATTCCTATTGGAAACTAATGTGAAATTCGATATAATATATTCCAATGAATTATACGACCACATTAAAAGGAATCTCAGAGGAGGGTTCACATGTACAGTTAATCAATATACTAAAGTAGATAATCCCTTAATCCAAATTTTGATGTTGAGAGTGGAATGGGTACTCACATTTTATATCTAGATTTTAATTTTTTGTATGCTAGTGCAATGGTTGAAGCTCTTCCACAGAATGGAATAAGAAAATTATCGAATGAGGAGAAGAATGATTTCCTCGATGTGGGATTAAGAAATGTTTCCTGTGAGGGTCAAAAGGAATATTGGATAGAATGTGATACCAAGCCCGTGTCCCCTGAGGTAGATAGACGTACTGATGAACTACCCTTGGTATTATCACACATGAATATATCACAAGAGATGTTGTCTCCTTATTGTGAATCTGTATTGAAAAATGAAGGTAGAAATATACTCAAATCTAATGCGAAATTAGTGGCAAGTCATTTACCTCAGAAAAATTATATGGTCAGTCTAGATTTGCTACAGTTACTAATGGAACTTGGGTTAGAGGTTGAAAAGGTGCATGCAGTATATGAATATACTCAGTCAAAATTTTTAGAACCCTTCATAACAACAAATATCGCACAGAGAACAGCCACATAATGTCCCATCAAGTCAAAAGCATTCAAATTAACCAATAATGCTATTTATGGGAAAATTAAGTGAACAGACCTAGATCAAGCCTTCCTATTCCAGGGTTGCAGGATTGCCAGATATCTCTGTTTCCATGCCCGAGGGACTGTCCTGTCCAGGAGCTGAACCCGGGACCTCTCTTCAACGTCTTATAGATACATCAAGAATGAGAAAGGATTTATTAAAACCACCAAAGATCCTTTCCTAAAAAATCTCACACATTTGAATCAAGACAGAGTGATTTGTACATTCACCAAATTGAAATTAGAAGTTAAACAACCACTATCTCGGTTTTCAAATTCTTGAGATTGCCAAAAAGAAATTGTATTATTTTTTATATAAAGTTTTAAAACAACATTATGGTGATGACGTAAAACTCCTGTATACACACACCGATTCGTACATTTTTAACTTGAAATGCAAAGATTTGCGTGCTGAGTTAAAAAGAGAACCTTTGTTAGGATATATGGATTTTTCAAATTTCAGTCCTGATCATCCCTTGTATGATAATAGTAGGAAAGGTGAGATAGGTTTATTGAATTCTGAAATGTGTGAATATAATATTAGTGAGTTGGTAGCTCTGAAAGCTAAAATGTATTCTGTAAAGATTGTTGGAATATCAAATACTGTCAGTAGAGCCAAGGGTATCCCGTCACAGTTCACGCCATTATTAACTCATGCATGATATAAGAATCTTTAAAGAAATGTAGATAGGGAAGTATTCACTTGTAAGTCTAATAGCAATGTAAAAGGTGAAATATGTACAGTAAAGAATAAAAAGAGAGGATTGTCAGCCTTTGATGATAAAAGGTATCACTTGAATACTAAGCAATCCTTGGCTTATGGTCACCCTGATATTCCACCATCTTAACGTAGCAGAACAGTGGGATCCCACAATGTTTTCCCATGTTGATGATTTTAGTTGTATATAATCTTTTGTATTAACGAAAAATTGTGTTACCAGAAATTTGTTGTATATGAAAATAAAAATAATGAAAATATTGTGTATTAGTGTTATCCTGCATTTAAGTTAATGAGAGGATACAGAGTGACCCAGCTTGATGAACCTGAACACATCTGTTGACCTGTGTTTACTTGTGATGACGTCATGGGTGGCTATCACGTGACGTCACACCTGGCATGAACAAACATGTTGTACTCCCGTAGGGGTGGTTACCCATGGGGTGGATGTACAAACGTGATGCAATATTCTGGGTAGTGGGGTCACGCATGTTTAAGTCAATAAGAGGAAGTTACTTGTTTCAACCTGTACTACCCAAGGGGGGAGACCATGCCCCATAGGGAGAACCTTTACCATACCCCCCACACCATTCTGAATGCTTACTCCCATAGAGGGGGACCTCAAAATTTGAATCGAGGAGATTTTAAAGGGTACCCATAGGGAGGAACTCAAATCTTTTTGTTTGTATTATTGAAATTTGGCAACCCTGTATAATTTTGTGTTTTGATTCTGTGTACAATTTGCAAATAAGTGCTTTAAAAGTTGAAATAATCAAATTTATGATAAGACAATGAAAAAAGGGTTTCAAGGTATTATATATGAAGATAATGTTAAAAGGTAAGAGAGCGATCAAGGAATGGTAAATTATTTTAACAGCAACTCTGTTTCGATATTGTAAATTCTTATCAAAATTTCAAATCATTCAGTGAAATGTCACGGTTATACCTCTACTTTTTTCTGGGATAAAATAACAATCAAAATATCGGGTTATCCTCAGCGAGCTCATTAAACTACACTTATGACTTCACTTACAAAACAATGAAATTAACTACAGGAAAGAGTTTCACTTCTAAAGACATGAAAACTGATTCTGGGAAAGAATATCACTTCTAAAGACGTGAAAACTGATTCTGGGAAAGAATGTAACTTTCAAAGACATGAAAATTGATGCTGGGAAAGAATTTCACTCTCAGTGACATGAAAACTGATTCTATGGAAGAATTTCACTACCAAAGACATGAAAACTGATTCTGGGAAATAATTTTTTGGGTTATGCTAGGCTAGCAATTAATAATTTTTTTGTTACGTGATATTCCAGTACACAGCCTCCCAATATATGCATCTTGTTGGACTTCAGAGATGAACTGATATTTCAGCAAGAAGTACTGTAGTCGCTGAGCGATCCAATAAGGGCATCCTCGTATTTCATTATCCCGCATTTCCTCAATTTCGGTGCTTGCAAATGGAATAATGGAGGCTGGTCATAAAATTCCAGTGGAGCAAAATATAGAAATATGCATATACGTGTGTATGTTTGTGCATATGAATTTCTGTATATCTGCGTACTCTTCAATGAATACATGTATGTGTATATATGTATTTGTTTGCGTATTTATGCAAATGAGTATTTGTGTATTTACATATGTAATTTTGTAAATGAATACTTGTGAAGACGTTTACTTATACATATGCATTTGTGTATAAGTATGTGTATATATGTATGTGTGTAAAATTTGTGTATATATATAATATACTTATTTACGCATGCATGAGTGTATCACCAACAATGCCACCATTACCACCTCTGGTGTCACCACCACCACTGATACTACCACCCTAACCACCATCACATGCACCACCACCCAACAAACTATCACCATCAACACCACACCACCACCACCACCACTATCCTCACCTGTAACCAACATAGTCAATGTCTCGGCAACACCTGAAATAGTGAATTTGATGTAAATATTACTGAAAAGAGAGAACAGGTACATGTCAGTGGCTACACAAGTCTTCACATATAGTTAATCATGGTTTAAAATGTGAAATCAATTGAATACAGTATTCTGAAGTTATAAACGAAAATCTAGCATCACGTAGTACAGTATTCATTCAATTAAAAAATGCAAAAAAAGTAAATAAATAAATAAATAAAAAAACGATTTTTCAATGTTCTTCATGTTTTTTTTTTGTAGTTGCATTAGTTTTAAAAATGCTCTTTAAACCTCTAAAAAAATATTTTGTGGTTTTTAAATTATCAATTTTAATAAAATAAAAATAACTTATTTCATGTTTTAGAAAAGAGATATGCATTACACTGACAAATATAAATTTTCCCAGAATCACGTCAAACTGAATGACTACTATCGTAGACGTAAGATACATCTTGTTGTTATTGGCATGAAAAGTTCAGTTGCAAGTTTTATACAATAAATAGGAATACATTCCTTTTTTATAACTAAAAAATGTCTTCAAAGTATGAACGCAG